CGAGTCAGCAGCTCGTCTACATATGAAGCGAGATGGCTTGACTGATCTCAGCCAAGACTGTCCAGAGTCCTGAGGCAGAATGAACACATTTCTCAATCCATTCCTGGAACACACCACCCAATAAAAGTAGCCCCTGAGCTGTGAGGAGAGCTGTTGAGCATGCTTGTACTGACCAAATAAAAAATGTGATTTCAAGGCAGAGAAGGCACAAATAGAATTTCAACACTTAACCCCATCCTCCTCCTCTTCTTTTTTTCTGATTACTTCACCTGATGTTTTGTGCTTGAGGTCATGAGAAGGTTGTGATCGTACACCAGCAAGTACCGAGTGAGCCAACAGAGAAATAGTAACACACCAAGGGGAATTTAAAGCCTTAAAAACGGACCTACATCTCCAGGTCTACGGGATGTAAGAGGAAACCCGGGAACGCCTAATGAACACAGCAGGAACATGTGACCTAGACAGCAAGCTGAGACGACGACTAACATCACCGAATCTCTAAATACACCTCTGCTGTCCCTATTAAACCCCAAACCTAATCAAATAACATCAATGTCAACATGCACTCTGAAAAGATGTTTTCATTCGGACACATTTATGTACACGTATGAGGGCCCTTGTGCATGCTTGTTTATCATTTCCAAATTTATTCATAAACTAACTTATGCAAACAAAAGACTTGAAACGATGATCTCAAGTGTCCTGAAGACGGAGACGCAACACCAAACTTTAACAGGTTCAGTGTTCTGTAGGGCTGTAGCGAAGCCTCGACGAAGTCGACGGCTCGATTCTAAAAATTTGTCGACGTCAGATCCGGAAGTCGACGCACCGCGCCCACTTGTTGCATCCCCAGGAGTTTGTAAATAGAGGAATCTGCCTGTTTTTCCTCTAGTTCGCCCTCTTCTCCGCCTTAACTAACATCTCCGCCAAATACCGAAGACCCGGAACAACGTCCGTCCACTACTAGATTATTTTCCTGTTTTGCCCCTTCGTCTCCCGGCAACGGGCAACAACTTCCGGGGTCAGATGCGCTGCTTCGTGTCTATCGCAGATGTAGAAAATCACCGGGAGCGCTTCTCCCTTCATTAAGGAGCTTCTTTCAGACATGAGGAGAGCTGTTTTGGTGGTAGCAGTCTCTCCTCCGTGCTGGTCTGTTTGCTGCTGGGTGTTTTTGGTTTATTTAAACTTGGTAACTTTAACTTAATGTTGGTAAAGCTACTGTTAGCATCTTCGCTAACAGCTTCTTGCGTTGGGATAAGCTGTTACGTTTTGGTTTAGAGTTCATCTTTTTTGTGGTGCAGATCTCCCTTTTATTACATTTAGAGTGTTGTGGGTTTTCGGTTTAGTGTAAAATATCACCTGAGTTTGGTTTAACCCGTAAGACCACTCGCCTCACGCACATAAGTGACCAAAACAAAGCAGCATGGAGACACTCCATCTTCTACCACCTCTCAGGCAGCACTCCCAAGTTCTACACGTCACCAGAACATAACCAACCAACACAATAAACGCAGTGTTATACAAAATGGAAGGCCTGTAGTGTTTATTCTCTTACAGTAACAATTTATCCATTTTTTTGAGGAATTTATTTGAGATTTTCTGGTTTTTGTTAATTGTGCAATAGAAAAATAATCATTAGATTAATTTTCTAAATAGTCATTAGAATAGTCGACTATTCGATAAAATAATCGTCAGAATAATCGTTTTAAAAATAATCGTTTACCCCCTGCCCTAGTGTTCTGTCCAAAGCAAAGTTACCCAGTCATAGAGTTCCATTAGTCATCACACACAGATGAAATTCATTTCCGCATTTGACACATCCCCGTGAGGAGCGGTGAGCTGCAGCTGTGGCTGTGCTCGGCAACTATTTGGTGGTTTCACCACACCATACCATAGTTTACTTATATAGCCCATTTAAAACGCAGCATGGGAACTGCCCAAAGTGCTGCATGGGCTGGACCAATACATGACCAATCAAAGCAACAAAAACAGAAGATAAAATACTGATCAATAAAAGCAAATTAAAAAAAAATGAGGATTACTAAGAACACAATAAAACACTAAAACGAGTCACAGTCTAAAAGCCAAATCATAAAAGTGGGTCTTTCAACGAGATTTAAAAACCGTCAATGATGGAGCCTGTCGAACTATACTGGGTAGAGAGTTCCACAGCTTTGGGGCAGCATGTACAAGTACAAAGCAGCAGGAGGTCAGCCAACCTCAATGTGTGCATGGGTACATAGGGAGTGAGCAGGTCAGAGAGATAGGGAGGTGCCAGATCATCAATAACTTAAACTGTACTTGGAAAATGACAGGGAGCCTGTGAAGATGTGCCAGGACAGGGGTAATATGACTATGTCAGTGCATATTTGTCAAGAAACTGGCAGCAACGTTCTGGACAACCTGCAGCCGATTCAGGGCAGAGACCGGAGCACCAACTAGGAGGGCGTTTGCATAGTCCAGGCAAGAGGTAATGAAAGCATGGATGACTGACTCCAGATGCCTCCGCTTCAAGATTGGTCTGAGACGAGAAAGGCGACGAAGCTGGTAAAAGCAAGACCTCACTACGGAGTTAATCTGTGGGGCCACTGACAGTTCAGCATCTAACTTTACCCCAAGACTTGTCACACACTGTTTGGGGTTGAAGGTCAAAAGGTCACAAAAGCTATGGTGGTTGCAGGGATCAAAAACAATACTCAGTCCTCCTTTCGTTTAACTTTAAGAAATTGGATGCCAGCCAGCCCTTCACATCTTCTATGCATGCTGCAAATTGCGAGCCCGCATTATCCTCATCCATTGCTACATATATTTGACAGTCATCAGTGTAAATATGATAGCTCAGGCCGTGCTAATTCAGGATTTTGCCCAGTGGCAGAAGGTAGATAGAAAACAGCAGTGGCCCGAGAACGGAGCCTTGTGGCACCCCCCAAGGCAGTGAGGGACAGGAGGATGCACATTCACCAATCTGGACAGAGATGGATTGGTTGGATATGTAGAAGCGGAACCATTGATGTGCCACCCCCGTCACCCCAACCCAAGACGGTCCAATAAAATATGGTGATCGACCGTATCAAAAGCCGCCAAGAGGTCCAGCAGGAGCAGCAGTACCCTAGACCCAGAGTCAGATGCCACCAGAATGTCATTTAACATCCTAATCAAAGCAGACTCAGTGCAATGGTGGGGTCTGAAGGCGAACTGAATCACACCCGACAATGAGTTGCTGTCCATATGAGCAGAAATCTGACCGTGAACAATTTTCTCAAGGACCTTCGAGAGAAATGGGACTTTTGATATAGAGCAGAAGTTCTCACAAATGGAGTGATCCAGACCAGGTTTCGTCAATATTGGCTGAACAACTGCACCTTTAAAAACCTTAGGGAACCCCCCAATCCAACCCCTTAATGCCGAGTGTCAAACAGGGAGGTGTTGGGTCCTTTTTTAAAGTCTTTGGTATGACCCGACTGTGGATTTAAACCCACAATCTCCCAGTCCCAGGGTGGACACTCTACCACTAGACCACTGAGCTGGTCTAAACCACACAAGACAAATTATGTGTGAAAATCTTGCATTGTGTATACTCACAGCTGCTTCCAGCTGTGCACCATTGTGAGGATGGTATTTAAAGTAAACATGAAAATAGGCATTGTTTTAAAAATTGTGTATTAGCAGTGCCAAACCGTTTCTTTTTTTGTTTGTTTCAATGACTAGATTTGTGCAAGAAAACTTTACTGGTGGATGGGTTTCTCACATGCACAACAGATGCATAAAGTAGATTTACTAAAGAACCCATCCTGAATGTTTTGCAGTAAGAGAAGAAACTGGGGTGCCCAGAACATGAAATGCCACAACATGCTAACTTTGTGCAGGAAAGATGCATCCGGGCATCAAACCTTCAACCTTCTTGCTGTGATGCAACAGCACTGTCAACTGTACCACCATGCAGCCTTGTAATATAAATGATTATAGTTATTTCCCGAAATAAAAACACCCAGAATACCGATGTGCAGAAGCATATGTATTTTAAGCCATTTTTAGGATGTTTTTCTGCCTGGCCCAGAACCAAACTGAGCACGGACCAGTTGTGGCCCTGGCCCACTGATTGGAGACCCCTGGTGGAAGTGATGGGAGGAGAAATTTAGCATAATGCCCGAAAGTAAACCTGAATGCATACATCAGATTTCAATTTTGAATGTAAAATTGTTGTTTGGACTGTGCACTGGACATAGCAGCCTAATGTTACGTCAACACTGCAAGAAATGCACATTAGCTGCGCATTTTGAGCACAAAACTGTTATATTGTAGTTGAAATTGGAAAATGTCTTGTATTGTCACAGAAAGTAACTTTTTTCCTTTGTACTTGAGTTAACCTCACCGTCAGGGGCTCTTCTGCACATCAGGGCTCATTTGCATGCAATCTGGAGTGTCTGGCCAAGACCACGTCCTAAAGTACAAGTCATCAGTGCGAGCAGGTCGTCTACCAAGTCAGTAAAGCTGTCACCACACTGCAAATGCTGCAGGATTAAGTCCTGACGGCCGGGGAGGACACGTGGAGAGGTCCTGGAGCTGCAGCTGCAGCCAGCGGACGACTCGGACAGCACGGATGAATGCCACTCTGTTTCCAGCCACTTTAAACTTTTAAAACGATGAATTAACATGAATGATGTCAATGTTACAGAGAGACGTTTTAATTGACCTCTGCCTCACCGTTCAGCCATTTCTGTAGCAGCAGGTGTAAGTCACGGTCTAAGCGAACCAAAGGGCAAACATTAACCACAGATGTGAAGGAAAAACGTTTAACCTGGTCGAGGTTAGCTAACAGGGGTACAGCTAGCAAATTAAAGAACAATAAGTGCCGACAGCGTGCTCACGCGCCCCGGCGTTTCCCACTAAAATACAAACAACTTGTCACGTGCAACGTTTGTATTTTAGCACTTACTATCCCCCTTTCCTTGGCAACAATACCGCGGATTAAAACACAATTACCCCAACCAAAAACTTACCACCGATGAAGGTGAGGCCAGCGAACAGGAACCAGAGCCCGAGAAGGAGCGAAGCAGCGCCGAACCGACAGCGGACAAAGCGGCCCGAAGGTAAGGGCATCTTCGTGCTTTTTAATCACTCAAGTTTCAAAACGCAGAAGGGTAGAGGCGAAACAGCCGCAGGTTGGGCTTTAGACGATCCAGAGAGAGTCTTCTGTTTCACTTTTACGCCTTCTATCTGCCCTCCAAGAGATCCTCAGCACATATCCTCGTGCCGCGCCGTGGCCATCCCGCTCGTGCGTCTTCGTTGCTCAGAACAACGCATCACAGGTGTTTTGGATGAACTGCTGCCTTTCTCACTACAGCGGCTGCTTTCGCACCGTAAGAGAGAAAAAAAAACCACCACTATCCGTTCACAACTCAGCCTCTGTCATTGGGCAGGAGAGAGGGAGACCGCTCCTTTTGGTGCTCCTCACTTTGCAGCCTCCGTGCGCAAATGTGAAAATAGCTAGGATTGGGATCGGAGGACGAACGTCTGCTGGCACAGCAAAGCTGGAGAGCTGCGAGAGTCGGAGTAAGGTGTGCGTGCGCGTGAGCGTGTTGCTGTAGATGGGCAAGAGGAGCAAAACCAGGCACGGATTGTGCCTGGGATTGGAACTCCGGTGATTGAGCGATCCGGTTTCTTCGGGACACATTTACATATCATCAATAAGCATAACAAACACATGCGCGAAGGAATGGGAGGGAATTCATCCGTGTACCACAGCCCGTGTTTTTTCATATCCTCCGCCTCACATGAAAATGATGGATATGTCATCCAGCCCCTGCATGATAGGAATCACATCGGCGCTTTGCATACAGATTCACGCTGAACGCATCTGCATGCCATTGAGTTTCAGTTACACGTGTCTCTGGTTTGTCTTGTGAGCTCTTCGTGACGGACAAACAGCCTGAGAGGGGTGAGGATCAAGACCTGCCAGAAAATCCAGAATGCACAAGATTTATTCTCCAGATTATATTCTCCCATTTACCCAACCAGAGGCGGATTTAATAATTCTGGGGCCCCGGGGCTGACGCATGAGGTCTCTCCACTTCTCGTCATTTTTTTCTAAAAAAAATATATATATGAATCACCTAATCATAGCTTTGTTTTTATTACAACACTTAAGGCATATCTTACCAGGATTTCTTTTTTTAACAACTTTGTGTAATTTGTTATCTTTCTAATTATTGTTGCTAAACTATAGCAACACTGCATGGTGGCGCAGTTGTTAGCACTGTTGCCTCGCAGCACGAAGGTTGCTGGTTCGAAACTCGGCTGCGGCCTTTCTGCGTGGAGTTGCGTGTTCTCCCATGCGTGTGTGGGTTTCCTCCGGGTACTCCGGTTTCCCCCACAGATCACAACATGCCCTATAGGTTAGAAATTGTAAGTCACTTTGGATAAAAGCGTCTGCCAAATAAATAAATATAAACATAATCAGATATTGGTTCACATGATCTATAGCTGTAAAAGTTTGGAGTTTGAAAAACAGCCATTAACAAACGTTCATCATATTTCAGATATCATAGATTTTCTTATTGACCTTTTGTGCATGATGTCATGCCGTTCATGGGACCTCCCCCTTCGCCATAGTAAACAGCATAGAAACTGTTTACGAATGTTGAATCTCCTGTGAAGATATAAACAAGCCAGTTAGTATCCTCATCAATCACTTTTATTTTGTTGATTTCAAGGTAAAATTGTAATAGGGGGTAAAACCGTTGATGGGGACAGAAGACGGGGACAAACGGAAGCAGTCAATAAATGGACTAGCAGCCCTCAAAGTATTTTAGAATTTGCAGCGAACGCGTTTTACTGGGTAAGATTAACATTCATGTATTTCATGAGGAAGACCGGGACTGACTGTGATCAACCTTGAATGATGTGTTTATAACACTTCTTTAGGATTTATAATCCTATATTTTTCTATGAAGGATGTGTGTTACTGTCCACTATAGTGAATTAGAAACTAGAGGTTGACAGATTTATTGGTTGCCCGATTAACCGGGCCGATATTTAGATTTTTTCATCATCGGCATCAGCCGATAAGCCTCTTTAGTAGAGCTGATTTAAAGTCAGGAGCCTTCGCCCCGCTGCTGCTGGAAGCCAGTGAAGGACCCCACAACAAAACACTGGGAGTATTTACCTCTGAGTAAAAGGTAAAGCTTCTCTTTGGCGTTTCAAAACCCTACAGCTGTATATTTAGTGTGAATTAAAAGTAAAATATGAAATAAAACTTAGCTGAGTGAAAGTAAAAACGGGCCATAAGAACCGCCGGTAACCGGCAGCATGCTGCCACTGCTAGGCTAGCTTGTTGAGACCGTCTTAAACCCTCAGCTGCTTTTTGCTTAACACTTTAGCAGTTTTATAAATTAAATCATTTTCTGTATGGAAGTCAGAGATTTTCACTATTGTGTTAGAGAGGAGAGGAGAGTCCTGCAGCAGCAGCGTCTGCACACCCCCTCCCTCCAGGTCTTGTTTTGTGTTTGGAACTTGTTCTCATGTGGGTCGGAGCTGAAGAACTACACAGGCGTCTCCAGTTCTTACTTGGATGACACAGTGAACAGAAAACACAGAAAAGATCGCTATATAAATGCAGCTCGTTTGATCTGTTTACCGTGTAATCAGTGATCAGAAACAGCAGACGTGTTCTGAATAAAGACTATTTATAATTTGTACGCTTCGCTTCCACGTAACATCAACGGTCAGGAACACTAGTGAATAGTTAGGGTGCACTTTTATTAATAGATCAGTGTTATTGTTTAAACGTTTCTCTAATATTTATCATATAGACTGTAATGTGCTGAGTTCTCCTCTGCTCGTTCTGCTACAGACTCAGCTGAAGATGGATGCTCTACACAAACACTAACAACTGTTTCTCCTGCTTAGTTTCTGTCTGATGGCTCAACAAAAGTCACATCCAGCATGGCAGCAAGTCATGGAGCCAAACCAAGGAAAGCAAGGTGTCATATCAGCGGGGGCTGGTGAGCTGGGAGCTGAAGAAGGTAAAAACACAACCTGAAGGTTTCCGTCTCCGGGCTAATTACACAGAAGCTGCTGCTGAGTCAAGAGCACTAAAGGGTTAGTTAATACTGAATCTGTTTGACATGAAGATGTTATGAAATAGTGAGTTAAAAAGACTGGATGAACTTTAGATGTTGCTGGTGTGTTTTAGCAGGATGCTGTTGTGTATTGTATTTATTATCACATCACTATAGGAACTGTGTCTCTATTCTAAAGGTGCATTTATTTTTACTTACATGTACATGTGTACATCCCTATAAAACATCTGCTTAACAAATGCTCTGAAACATTATCAACTGATATTTTTTTGCCTGTTTTGTGTATTTAATACTTGGTCAGTTTATAGGTATTTTTTAATAATCTTGTTATAATGTTTGATTTGACCACTGAGCAGTGCACAAAATTAAGATTCAACACTTGGTTACATTCAGTGTTAAAAAAGACTAGGTTCAGAAATCTTGTGCATCCACAGTTATTGGTGACAATTAAGCATTCAGATAAGGTGTCAAACTTCGAGTAATGAAACATCGGCCATGAAATCGGCAGCACTTATCGGCCATCGGCTGACCACGACCACCTCATATCGGTATCGGCAATAGAAAGACCAATATCGGTCGACCTCTAATAGATACTAGTAATATTGTTACAATATGGGATTACTTGTGTAGCGTTATGAATATGCTATTTTCTGCCCTTAACAGCTGCCCTTTGACACAGTGACAGTGTGCATAAATTGCCAAGGTCGTGCGCTTGCTTCTGATGTTTACATTACAGCAAAGAAGACAGAAGAAGGACGAAGAACGCTTTTCATTAGTTAATCAAATAACTTTATTTCTAATAAAGCTAATCAAAACAACTGTTGGTCAATAATAATCAGGTGACTGATCTGTGAAATCACAATGTTATGATTTATGTGTTTAATGAATAACAGGACTTTGGGCTAACTGAGCTAGACATCCTGATCCACATAAGATGAACACATGACACATTGATCCCTCATCCAATCAGAACTTCCTTTCTGATGCGTGGCAGAGTCCTGTGGTGTTTACTTAATCTGTCCACTCCGATTCGCTAAGAATCATAAACAACTAAGCTTAATAAAACAGAACAACGCCATTTTAATTCAGTTACAATGGTGTTCAACGCACGCTCAGACGCTAGTTTCAACGTAGTTCAACTTGGTTCAACGCAGTTCCAACCAAGTACTCAACCAGCTCTCAAATCCATCTGATGTCCATCATCGCTAAGTGAAGTACAGACTGGCCAGCTGTATTTTCTACTTTTAAGCTGAGAACTGTCAAGCTGGAAAATTATGTCGTTTTATCAACAAGACGACAGTTCCTTCAGAATAAAAGCTGAACTCTCTGACCCAAAAAGGGGGGTCTCTCCGTGACGCTGAAAACCTGCCGTTGTACCGGGAGACGATCCATAGACTGGTTTGTCGTGCTGCCGACGCTGTTTCACCAGTTCCAGCACCAATGAGGGTCCGAGGACCTGGCATCCGGATCTAACACGGGAGTCTCCGCACGGTACGTAGATCGCCATAGATAGCGTCTCATGTCTTCCTCCTGAAGTCCCTCGTGGTTAGTTAGACAAAACAACATCTTGCACTCAGACTCGCTTCCACCAGATGGAGATTCTGAACTGACACACACACACCAACACTTCAGCATTACATTCATCTGCATCCATCATTAGAGAGTTAGTCCTGGTGATTGTTTCAAATAATTATAAAATAAATATTCTTAAACGTCCCATCTCTCTCTTCTTGTCTCTAATTCAATATAAGGTGTTTGAATAAAATTCCCTGTAGTAAAAACAACCTCTTTTGATTCTAAGGGCCCGGTCCAAATATTAATGATCCAGCTCAGGTTTGGATCAGTGATATCTCTGGACCTTAATAAAAGTGTAAGAATATACCAACTATATTCCGCTACACGTGTGTGAAAATTACGCTACTTATGTAGCATGGTGAGCATCGCCTTTGTGAGGTATCTTCTCGCTCCAGTGTGACAGTAGCAGCTGGCCCTGCTGACCTAGCCAGCAACAAAAAGTAGTAGGAATCTGAACTTTTATTCATCTATTTTTTGAATCAGCTCAGTGTAAAGTGAAATGCTGTTTATTACATATTTGTTATAATTCCAGCGGGGTGAATTCTGACAAAGTCAGCAATTTGTTTACATTGGTGAACAGCAACAGGGACAATGCAAGTAAACGTTCAGAAGCTAGTTAGCGCTAAATATTGTTTCCTATGAGTCCACCTAGGTTTGCTTAGTATTCCCAAAAGTTTACTGAGCTTGAACCGGTAGAAATCGGCTAAACTGGCAAGTAAAACAACCCTAGTCACCACTTTTGACTTTTGTTCAATAATTCACTGTAGCTACCCACAGTGGTGGACCCATTTGATTAGGTGACATAGATGCAAAGGATCAAAAATGACAAAAAGAATTTCAAATGTTTAAGTGAATGTGTTATCATCTTTCTTTCCTGGCTCACTATTGTTACATTGATGTGTATTGAGGCTTTAAGCTCCAGATGTCATAATTACATTTAAATCTAGAATAAACATTATAGATATTTGAATGTAGTTTTCAATTCAGTTCAAGTTTATTTATATAGCGCCAACTCACGACAAGAGTCGTCTCAAGGACCTTCACACAGTAAACATTCCAATACAGGTCAGTTCATTAAGCCAATCAGAAAAAAGTTTCCTATAAAAGGAACCCAGCAGGTTGCATCAAGTCACTGACTAGTGTCAGTGACTTTCCAGCAATCCTCATACTAAACAAGCATATAGCGACTGTGGAGAGGAAAACTCCCTGTTAACAGGAAGAAACCTCCAGAGGATCCTGGCTCAGTATAAGCAGCCATCCTCCACGACTCAAGAAGACAGAGCGCGCACACACACACATACAAACACACACACACACACACACACACACACACACACACACACACACACACACACACACACACACACTTATATACCGGGTGTCTCTATGG